ATTTAGGCCTATCTATGGCCTTCAAAAAAGTTGACGACTTACATGTTTCGACGTTACAAAGTCATCCTCAACGTTTTTAATTGTGTACCAGTTTAACGTTGAATAATATTTATGATTTTAACTTTATACACAAGTGCCAAATACTGTAATTCCGGACGAGTAATTGACTAAAAACCCTAAAATTATTCTTTTTTTTTCTCTTGTTCTGAACCCCCTAAAAGGACTCAAAATGGGCAAAACCAACTTGTTTGTATGTCAGTGTTTTGGGTGCCTGAAAATGTATATTTATGCCAATTTTCGTCTAAATTGTTGTAAATATGACTAGAAATAGGAACCCAGAATTGTTGTTTGACCTTTCATCCCATAAAATCCTTAAAAAGGCCTAAACAAAAATGAAAAGGCGCCTGGACGTAAATCCCTAGAAGTTCTTCTATGATTGTTACTGTAAATTTTGTCCACCGGTGGGTCAGCAGTAAGCTTACGGAGTTACAAAAAAAATCCATGCGTTAAAAATACTATGAATAAGAAATTCTTTAACAGATTAAACGGGAAATCTCTAAAAGAATATTTCATTTATAGCAGCAAAAGGACGCTATAACATTAGCAGTTAATTTTGCTATTCAGTTAAGAGTATATGTGTAGACGGCAGGTGTTGCTGACTGGTTAACCCCTCTCTTTGACCAGCAGCTCAAAATTAAGGATGGCTATACCTGAACCTTGGATTGTTTCATTTACCCGTTTAGCCCATGTTTCACATAAGGTGCAGTTCAGGTTGAAAATACCCAAACATTCAACGTAAACCATCATCGCCAGTGGGGTTTCATTATATGCAGAACTTACAGTTTCTATACCAGTGCAATGATGTGTTTGGCATTTAATTGTTAAAAGCACAACAATATAACGGGCTGTCTATGGTCTGCCCACCGTGGGTATTGAAACCAGAATTGTAACGCTCTAAGCTCTTAGACTTGCCGCTGAACCACCAGGGCTGCCTGAACATGCCAGATGATGGGTATGTTGTAGACCCAAGTTACCCAACAGCTATTAATTTTTACTTTATACTGAAATATTGTATTTATACTCATAAAGACCAAAGAAATCCAAACTAGTGTATTGTTAGCATGTTGATACTCACAAAGTCCAAAAAAATTCCAAATAACGTATTGTTAACATGTTTATACCCACAAAGACCAAAGAAACTAAACACGTAAATTGAAAAAGACGATAATCTGTGAAGGCTCGCTTATAATAGATACCTTAAAGTCCATTAATATTTCATAATGACCCTATGCTCAGAATAGAAGTTCATTAATATTTCATAATGACCCTGTGCTCAGAATAGGAGTTCATTAATATTTCATAATGACCCTATGCTCAGATTAGAAGTTCATTAATATTTCATAATGACCCTGTGCTCAGAATAGGAGTTCATTAATATTTCATAATGACCCTATGCTCTAGTGTATTGTTAGCATGTTGATAGTCACAAAGACCAAAAAAATTCCAAATAACGTATTGTTAACATGTTTTTACCCACAAAGACCAAAGAAATCCAAAATAGCATATTGTTAACATCTTTGTACCTACAAAGACCAAACAAGTCCAAAATAGTGTACTTTTAGCATGTTTATACTCACAAAGTCCCAACAAATACAAAATAGCGTATTGTTAGCATGTTTATATTCACAAATTCACAAAGACCAAACAAATCCAGAATAGTGTATTCTTAGCATGTTTATTCTCACAAACACCAAACAAATTCAAAATAATGTATTGTTAGCATATTGATACTCACAAAGTCCAAACAAATTTGAAATAGCGTATTGTTAGGATGTTTATACTCACAAACAATATACAAATCCAAAATAGCGTATTGTTAGGATGTTATACTCACAAAGTCTAAACAAGCCCAAAATAGCGATATTTTTGGCATTTTTATTCTCTCAAACAACAAACAAATTTAAAATAGTGTATTTTTAGCATGTTTATACTGATAAAGACCAAACAAGTCCAAAATAATGTATTTTTAGCATGTTGATACTCACAAGGACCAAACAAATTCAAAATAACGTATTGTTAGCATGTTCATACCCACAAAGACCTAGCAAGTTCAAAGTAGCATATTTTTAGCATCTTTGTACCCACAAAGACCAAACAAGTCCAAAATAATGTATTGTTAGCATGTTTATACTCACAAAAACTAAACAAATCCAAAATAGCGTATTATTAGAATTCATTATGAAGTTTGAACTGAAATTAAATAATTATTGATCTAGGTGAAGTCGCATTTTTAACAGACGCACTTTAATTTCCTCTTAATAAAACATAAAACACAAGCTATATATTCTCATTCATCACAAGTTTGTGACATTTCATTTTAAGTAAAATTTTTGTGTTCTTTCAGCTAAACAATAAAATCACAGAACTGCATCTGACATGAAGACTCTGCGCACTTATCTAACTTGGCAAGGAATTCGTTTGAGTTGATAAAAATAGCACACGCATATGTGACACACAATCCTAATGCTCAGAACACTCATGCATACCAAAAGAGGTGACAGAGGTTTTGTTACTACATCTGGACTAAAACACGGGTGAAACAAAATAACTTTACGGTGGTTTCTTACACATGCAAAGAAAAGGTTAAAGAGCACCAACGAAAACCACGTGAGAAATAATATAACATAAGCAAACACAAAAGCTAAGAGAGCAAAGTCTTGGAAATTATTTGGAGAAATAGAACGTAACCTAAACACTCGCTCAGCTAATAATGTGCCTGTTGAGAAAACACAGATCTATGTTTTTTACTACTTAACTTGGTGTGATTTGTCTTGAATTTCGCGTAAAACTACACGAGGGCTATCTAAGCTAGCCGTGCCTAATTAGGAACTGAGAGACCAGAGAGAAGGCAGCTAGTCAACACCAACCACCACTAGCTCTAAGACCACTCTTTTAACCGGCGAATATTGGGATTGACCGTCACGTTATAAAGCCCAACGGCTGAAAGGACGAATATGTTCTGTGACGGGAATTCGAACCCGCGACCCTCATATTGCGTCTCGAGCGTCTTAACCACCAGGTTTTACCAGATATCTTTACTACTTCAGCTGATGTCGTGGAAACGGAACAGTTAGGTTTGTCAACAACAACAAAAATTAAACAGAGAGCGCTGAGTATCTCCATAGCCATTGTCATGATTCAGTGTAATACAGGGTGTCTCAAAAGTGTGGACCCATAGCGAAAAATACACAGTTTAGTCCTAATTCATTTATTAATCAAACTGCATGCCATTAGCATCCATACACATATCAATTCTTGGTATACTGTGCCATCAGGGTATTTTCTTTCCTGAAATATGTACAACTGCCATTAGAAATGTTTTTGTTAATTTTAAGAGTATAATGTCTGTTTTCCCTATGGCTCCAGACTTCTGGGACACTCTGTACAATTATCATATAAACAAATGCACTGTTGTAATTACCCATTATAATCTGAGATATCCACTAAGATGGACTTTCTGAAGTAGATATGGATAAAAATAATTGAAAAAGGCCAACAACGAATACACGAATGACCAATAAAAAAAACTATGTGATTAAGCCAGTCAAACTGAATGTGGTGGTACGTCTCGTGAGCTATATATTTCATAGTTAGAAAGAAAAAACGTTTTTGATGAAAAAGATGTGAAATTTATTAATTGAATATTGTGGTTGATCTGATTATTCCCGATTAATTTAATTTCGTCACTTTTAAGACTTGTTCAATATTTTAATTCACAACATTGTGCGGATTCCACTTCTCAATACTTTAAGTTAACGATCAGTTAAGTTAACTGATCAATATGTATACACAACTACTATGACAACGCTACCGTTTAATATAATGAGTTTTATTGTTTGCTGAACGTAGTACTGAATTATGCTTTAAAAACTGGCCTTGTTGGAGAACAGTGTTTTGTTACAACCAATAAGCGCTGGGAATAAAATATAATTCAAGTAGCGTTAAGTTTTCAATAACAGTAATTTTGTTGGAGAACAGTGTTGAATCACAATGGTGTGAAGGCCTTTTACAAACTAGCGATTATACTTGTCATATGACATTAGTAATAGTCCAATTATATTTTTCAACACTGTATTCTTTACCCAGTCCCTTAGGGATGTTCAAGAACTAGAAGTGTGTATAATAACAGTATTCCAACCACATTATATTCTTCGCCATATCCATTGACACGTATTGCGCAATTCAGGGTTTATCGGGCTGGCTGACTGGGACAATAAACACAGTAGTGTACAAAAAAAAAACTATTCATATAAGCCATTTGTTACAACAATTATTATGACGTAAACGTCTTTCCCAAGTTGTTTGTTTGGAATTTCGCGCAAAGCTACACGAGGGCTATCTCCGCTAGCCGTCCCTAATTTAGCAGTGAAAGACTAGAGGGAAGGCAACTAGTCATCATCACCCGCCGCCAACTCTTGGGCTACTCTTTCATCAACGAATAGTGGGATTGACCGTCACATTATAATGCCCCACGGCTGAAAGGGCGAACATATTTAGTGGGACGGGGATTCGAACCCGCGACCCTTAGACTACGAGACAAGCACTCTAACCTGGCCATGTCGGGCCTTTCCAAGTTGTAACATAAAATTAGAAATGATCATGATTCTGATTTTGTGCCATGATATTAAAAAAATGTAACTGCAAAGAATACATTTAGCTTGCCTACAGGTGTTCCTACAAACAGG